ATGTTAACCAGCAGTCACTTCCAGCTGCTCCGAATGAGAGGTGGAGTCACTGAGTAGAGTAGACAGAGATATGTGCCTTTGTTCGAAGGGCAGTACTGGTGACTCACTGAAAAGGAGCACATATGGTTTATCCAAAAAGTCTCTAGATTGTGATTGAAAAGTTGTTAAATCTAGCAATAATGATGCTAAGTTAGCAATACTGCTGCCATCACTGTATGACCACTGATAGTGACCAATTAAAACAAAGGAGATGAAAATAAAGGTGGCTTCTACATTTTTATTGTAGTTACACCTGTTTTCCTCTGATATTATTCAGAACTAAATTATTATTAAACGGTGAGGCTAAAATATATTACATGACAATAAGAACACAAAGGAGCAAAAGAACCAAACTCTGCAGAGATTCAGGTCCACAAACGTAGGCCACTTAGGGGCAGTAGAAACAGGCTGTAAACATAACAGCGACATATCATCATAGTAAACAATTGCATATTTGTACAGCAGATTTGGAGACACATTAGCATTCATTTGAAGTCATGTTTTTGGCCACCTGGCTACTACCCTGTTTTGCTCTTCATCAACTATCACCTGCCTACCGAACAAATAGTAGCTAGTCCCCAATCTTGTCTGGACGGGTATCAGGTGGGTTTATCAGAGCTTTTTAATCTGTTTGTCCTCTCACTTCTCATATTTTCTCTTCTCTCTCTCCTTCCTTCACTATCTTTCCTCCCTCTGCACCCACCACATCTCCCCTCAACTCTTTGTTTCAGATCTCTTACCCTCCTCTCCATCTTTTCCGGCGTCTCCTCCTGGTCGTCACCCTCCCCTCTCTCAGCTGACTCCTTTTCTTTTCTTGTCCTCTGCCTCCTCATCCATCGCTCTCCTCTAAAACTTCCCCCCTTCTCCCTTGCTCCTTACATATTTGATGATTTCGCTGCGGTCCAGGGTAATAATTACACAGTTGTCACGTCACATGGGGAGCCCGAGGGATATGCAGGAGATGTGTGTTGCCATTGTGCTGATTAAAAATTGAACACGTCCTTTATAGTGATGATGCTGAATGAAAGGCTGGCATTAAGGGACCTCTTATGATGTATGACTAATGCTTAGTCATAGAGGGGGAAAAAAATTACAGTGTATTCCTCATTTTATAATCTTCACCGACAAATGAAAACAACATGCGATGTTTCTTTGTTTCTAGTCTTTTCAATACTGTCTGTGTATACTTTTACCATATTGCATTATGTAAATTATTCTTCATCCATGGACCATATTGCACCTTAATGTACAGTTCTTTTTTTTTTGACATGCACTGATTTACAGTGTATTTTAGGATATTATCATTATACAGTGTATATTCAACACATAGTTATTATGTTTCTACCTTTAGTCACTGTTCTGTTTTTATTTTTCTCTATTTATTTAGTACTGTACTTAGTCTGTGTTGTTGTTGTAAATAATTTAACCTTTAATTGTATTTGTCCATCACCTACCTCATTGTTTTTGTGATTTATGTGAAGTGGCTGCTATAACACTACAGTTTCCCTCTGCGATTAAGAGAGTACTATTCTACCTATTCTACCTACCTACCAACCAAACTATCTATATACCGAACTACCTACCTACCTGCTTACCTACCTACCTCCCAAACTACCTTCCTGCCGAACTATCTATAGACCGACCTACCAAACTACCTTCCTATGAAACTACCTGCCTACGTAACTACCTATAGACTGAACTACCTACCTACTGAAGTACCTATAGAGAGAACTACCGAACTACCTACATATAAAACATGCCTATAGTGGGTGCAGTGAACTAGGAAACTTTGTTCCCGGTCCAGATTAAACAGTCTGAATCCAGACTGGACTCTGCCTATTGAGCATGTCTGGTCTATAGAGAGGGTCCAGACACTGGAATAAACTAATTCTGGTAAACTTTCTGTACCTTTAGGAAAAATACAACTTAAATAGTTGAGTTGAATCATTTTGAGATCACAGTCACTAAGAAAGATTGGTGACTCTCTTCAAATGGGAAGAGTTTTAAAGTCTGTCCAAAACTTGATAGATTTGTTGTGAAAAAAGTGACTAATGGGGTCTTAAAAGTTTCCTGGCCTAGCATGAAATTTTAAGGTTTGCTAATCTTTCTTCTCCCCAATTGTACTAGGGTGAAGACAGAAAAGAATAGTTTAGTGTAGTATTAAGACTTCAGATGTAAATGAGCTCAGCTGCAAAGCAAAACATTTTTTCCATCTGAACTTGGAATATCGGCTGAAAAATTAGATATTTTTGGAACTACACACAGGCATCATGCAAGAGCAAGGCTACTGAATGTGTCAGGAAATATTAGTTTAATGGTTGAGGAATGAAAATTCGTCCTTAGTGAATATACTCTCTGAAAAGAGTATTTCTGAAAACAGATAAAAACATAATATACTGCCATACTTAATCATTAGTATTACTAACTGCTTCTATCATATCACCCTGGGCAGGAGCTGCTATGAGCCACTGTAAGTCAGGAAAATGAGCAGAACAGTAAAATCATGTGAAAAATAATATTGCTGCTCCTCTGTGATGTGGTGCTGAAATGAGAAATGTGTGATGCTTCTTTTAATTTGTGTTTTTCTTTCTCTTATTCACTGTTTCTAGTTTGATTTCACACTTCCCAGACGTTATATTTAAGGTGGAGTTTCCTCTGTTGCAGTGGTACAGAGAGTACAAGTTTTGAATTAATTCTGTATTTGTTGGGCAGCTATTGTGATCTACTGGTTGGAAAATGCCTTGTGTTTAATTGAAGCTTTTCAGGTTGGAAAAATATCTTCAGAGATGTTCCGAGTTTTGACTGAATCCTTTCTTTGTGACATTTCTGTATATAAACACCTGTGGATCAGAGGACCTGTGCGAAACCATTTGCACAAATGTGTTAAAATTGTGATCGTACATATGTGTCTTCAGGTGTGTGCTATTAAACCTCAAGATACAAATGAGATTGAGTTCCCATCAAAACGTGGCTCTGTAGCACCACTGGTGGTCATAAACTCCAAAGGGTCTATTTAACATTTTTTGAATTTGCCATTGAAGCGAGACTTTCTCAGGTTTAGCATCTCAGGCAGAGCCTCTGTTGGTTTCTGTACAAATCTGCCTTCACTATTGGGGTTTCAACTTAACTTAGCAAATATTTGATTGGCAGAGTTTTAGCATACAGCCTGATTGCAGGTCTTGGCTGCCAGCCACTTAACCTTCTACGTTTGAAGTTTAATATCAATCCACCCACCTGTCCAGGTCAAGACAGATCTTGCCTCCGTACATTGGCCAGTGGGAAAAACATTCATATCTTTACCAGATGTGCTGTTGAAATTGACAAGAAGCAGGAGCAGATGTGCAGCTAACAGATGCTGCCAAATCTGTTTTGATGTCTTGGGCTGAAAAATCTGCTCAGACACGAAAATAGAAGAAGAGTTCGTCCAAATGGACACCTCCAGCGAATTAAACCTTTAGTGTGTGCACAAAGTGGAAAGATGGGCCTAGTCAGATGGGTTATTGCAGCAAATCTTCACATCCAAACAAAACAATAGGCAATAACACAATTTTGTTATTGCCGTCCAAAACAAACCATGAGGGGAATGGTTAGAATAACATACACAACAAACTCTCCTGCCTGAATGACAAAATAGATCTTTGTCATTGCCTTGCAAACTGACCCACATGACTTCAAAAATGTATTTACATCAGTGTTTTATTGTCTACCGCCTCTACTGCTGAGCTTTGGTTAAAGGTCCCATATTGTATAAAAGTAGATTTCCATGTCATTTTTGATTATAGATCAGGTCTAGGTTCTATATTAATACTGTGAAAGTATCAAAGCCTCAGTCCACGGAGAAATGCACACAGCCTGTATTCAGAAACTGAGCCTTAAAACCAGCCGTCAGGACTTCTGGAACTTTGTGATGTTACATTAAAGCAGTCACCTCTCTCGGCCACGCCCCAAGCCCCGCCCACCTGGACCCACCATCCAACATTGCAAGTTTGGTTTCTCTGAGTGTTTACCTTTACACTTTAAAGTGATTCCCCACAATTTCTCAGTTTAAGATGTGAGCATGATTCGAAGCATCACAACTGGCTTGGATGCTAATCCTGGTCCAATAAGCTACTTGAACAAGTGTTTTGTGGAAAGTTAAAGGCTGCTGCTCACACACACTGAGAATGGGTTTCGCAGTGAAGATGCAGACATTTTGTGTCCAGTAGTTTAAAACAAGCAGCACCTGCATATTCCTGGAGTCTGGACCTTTCGGTGCAGGACAGGGAGAAGATTGAATTTTAGGAATCTTTGATACGGTAATTGAACATTTTTGTGGAAAGAACATCTGACACAAATTTATCACTAAAAGCAGAGTATTTTTATAAGCTATAAAACATGTCTGGTGGTCCGTCTATAACTTTTCATCATTATAAATGTTCCTTTTTAGGAATGTTGCATTGACTTTTACCGTCTGTATCTACTACATGCTTCTTTTTCTCTTCTTTGCTCCAATGATATCCTTGTGTAATCATTAGTGATGATCATATTCCTATTAATTTTAAACCTGCTAATGACTTAAGGTTTTTTTTTTTTTTTTATCTTTAAAAGAAACAACAGGCCTCTTTGACTTAAACGTTCAGTCTCTACCAAATGTCAGCCAGGACTTCAAAAAGACCATAAAGACGTAAGGTTGCATTAGTCACGCACGCACACGCACACACGCGCTCCTAATTCGATGTCCTAATTCATGTCAGCAGGCTTGCTCCGCTGACAGCCAGTGGCAGCATGCATGCAGGTCTTTGCAGTAACATGCGCCAAGAGCCATCTGTCCTGTAACAGAAAGAGCCGCGTAGATTATGTTGTCCAGAGAGAGGGAGAGAGAGAGAGAGAGAGAGAGAGAGAGAGAGAGAGAGAGAGAGAGAGAGAGAGCATTACGCACACCCTGATCCTCTCCACACAGAACCAGTGTGGCGCACAGGCAGGCGGCAGCCCTCAGAAAGTGGGAAGTTTTCGCCATTCTGTCTAAAAATTAATCACCTTCATGTCGACTCTGTTGGATACTAACCCGCCGATGCTATGGTTACCTTTATTACGGTAGGAACACCTTTGTTTGTTTGTATTTGCTGCTTCATGGGGCATTTTTTTTTCTCGCCGAGGAACTATTCGGTTGTTGGGGACTCTGGCACGAAGGAGTGACAGAGAATGAGCCAAACTGTTCAACATGTTCAAGGTGACAGAAACTCACAAAGTTGTACTTGACGTGCATCAAATGCTGTGATGAACACGGAGTTGCTGGAGTTACAGTTTGCACGAATAGCTTGAAAAAGTTTTGGAAAACTGAATTTGGCACCGCAGTCGGGTCTAAATTGGTTTTATGTGCGGCGGATTAAATGTTTGAGTTTGGTATAACACGGGTGGTGCGTGATGTATTCAGGGACTTATTTCTTCTTCTAAACTCGAGCTTTGGCAAGTTGAACACAGCAGAATGTGAGACACAACGCGCCGTGCGCTGCCTCAAGGCAAAGCAGCGCGGAGAAACTCACTTCTCCTGCCTCTCTCTCCCTCTCTCCCTCTCTCTCTCTTTCTGTGCACAGGTAGACAACAGGGCTGGGTCTTTCCACAGCTCGCTCACGCACACAAACATAAGAGACTCCTGCTGTTTTCAGTTGCACCCGGGAGCCTTGCTCCTTCCAAAGGCGTGCGCTCCCTGTTGGAGGGAGCGGAACTGGCCCGATGCGCACGGGAATCACCCCTTTAGATGTGGTTGAGTTTGTGTCTTTGGATTGCCGCCGCGCTAATTGTGCCCCGGCTCGCTGTTATAGTGGGAGTGAAAGAGGATATGTCACAGTTAACTCCCAGCACAAAGGCGGACTCTGCGTCGAGTCAACCTTCCTTCCCGCCCTGTGCACTCCTTGGCCCGTGTGCATGTGTGCATGTTTGTTTGTGTATGCACATAGACTATAGCCAGTGCGCAGGAGCTGGAGCTGGAGCCGGGGGACTGCCTCTGAGCGCGAAGAGCTCCTCTCTCACTTCTGAAACTTACCCAAATTTGACTTTTTGGATAGATGCAAATGATAATGAAATAAAAAAATATTGTATCTGGAATGAGTGGGTGTAAATAGTCCATGTGCCAGTAACGTCCAGAACAAGAGTATGTGTCTGAAGTAATAAAGTTTTGAACTTGTTTAAAGAAAAAACGAGGCCGGGTTGGGTTGATGTCTGCGTGTGGATCCATTCTGCACCTTGTTATCCTGGAATTAGAGCCAAATAGTCTAATAACCCAAAAATGCTCGTGCTGCCTGTGTGCGTGTGTCCAGTCTGATTAAATAACTTGGATTGTCTGTATGTCTGACATGACATGTGGTCTAGGCAGCTTTGCATAATGGCGCGCATCAGTAGGCGTCTTGAGCCTTTAGTGGATGCTTTCCTGCTGCTGTTGGAGTCCACTTATATGTGTGTGTACGTGCGTGCGCGCAGAGGCCGCTGAAGCAGCTGTTGCAGCGGCGGATTTGACGCAGAGCCTCTCCGGCACACAGCAGGACAAGGAAACTAGGACGCAGCGAAGGAGGCGAGAGAGAAGGACCAGTTCCATTCTGTTAGTCCCCTTTATGGGCACTTGAGTAAGAAAAAAAAAAAAAAAAGCCTGAGAGAGGCTTACTCCTACAGCTGTGGGCTGTTGCGTGCATGTTAGAGCTCTGGGTGCAGTGCAGCTGGAAGGTTTAACAAGGCTCATTTTGTGTTTTACTGCAGGAGAAAGGAGAAAGGAAAGAGTGAGGGGTGTGAACAGATTAGGAGCTGGACTCATGGGGAGAACATAAAGAAGATGAGCATAAAAAGGGGCAGAAATGGCTCCCAGGTGGTTTAACAAACTGCTAGCTGAGATTCCTGTTGTTCCTTTTTTGGTTCTGCATTCCAACCTTTTTGTGCTTTCTCCCTCCCCTCCTCTATCTGCTCCACTCTCCCCTTCTTCTACCTGTTTTGTTTGTTGGCCCACTTTCTTCTATCTGTGATGCAGGATGTGTCGCCTGGTGACAAATAAACAGCATCGCTCTTATAGCATCAAGGTTCAGGAAGCAGCGGCAGGAAAATAAGAATGAGTAGAAAAGTCTAATATAAAGACTGAAGTTTAAACTGCAGTTTAATGCAAACTGATTCTGTTCAATGATACTGCACAAACATCTATCAGGTTAAGTTATATGTCTACCTGTGAGGTGGGGATTATGGGAAAGTATGCTTTATTAACTTTCCTTTCTAATTAGAGGTTTAAAATTATAATATGGAACTTTTCCACGTTAAAATATTTAAAAGTGGCCAGACTTTTGTGATATATGTTGTTGAGTTGTGTTCTTACATTTTCCCAAATGTCTCCAGCACTTTTCAAACCAGAAACATCAGTGATCTTAATCATGGTAACGTTTCATTTGGTCGCCTGTCAATGACGTCATATCCTCTGTACACATGTGTCAGTGAAAATTGACTTTTTATCTAGTTATAAGTCACATTTTTAAGATTCACTTTTCAGATCTTTTCAGGTCGTTTTTGATGGATATTTTAACCAGATGAAGGATTTTAGTCATCAGGCGTCTGGATCTTAAGATATCACAAAAAAAAGAAAGAAAAGCTGAGCAAATGTGAGCAGCAGTTCGGCTCCCAGTGTCCACTGAACAGCTTCAGAGAATCACTGATTCTTTAACATGGAACCACTTCATTCAGAGTTTCTGCTACATTAAATCACTGGGTCTGTTTGTGTTGGAGGGGAGGAGACCTCTGTGGATCTTTTGTCTTAAAGAGGCAAAAATCTCCTCAATGACTGACATATAAGGAATCCTAACGGTGGTGAAGACAACAACTCCCATGATCCCACGCTACTTCATGACTATTGTTGATTGAGGGACCCACAGCGGCAGAAAATGACATATTGTGCGTTTAAATCAACAAAATAATGTTGGTCACTGATGAATTGTGAGCGGATCAGAGCAGCGGCCGGAGGCTTAGAGATAAAGGGTGGATCGCTGGTGTTATCCCATCACAGATGTTTCATTAATTTTAGTTCATGACACCTCCAGAGGGACTGACTGGAAGTACTAGCGTCCTCGAACCTCCCTTTTCTGGAAATCTGTTCGGTCAACACATGCTGTTTCACATTTCTTCGCCTCTTCTCTTCTCTGCCGTGTCATTGCGTGTAACTCAATTTACAGCCCACATTTCCACATTTCCAGAAGTTTTACAATTAAATCTTCCCCAGAATAGCAAATCCACTTTGATCGTGTCACAGAATCCGAGACAGTCAGGAGGAGATCACTGATGTTAGAGAAGTGTCTGACCTGCGGCAGGAACCTTTAAGACCAAAACGCACAGAAAACCTCATCTCAACTCAACAAGAGCAGTGAGAGTGAGTAAGATTTCCACGGGCAACTGTCCAGGGGGCCTTGAAGGGTCCTGAAAGTACTGCAAAGTTACTGTATGTCAGCTGGTTTTGGTTGAATTTAGTTTTCTGCCTTGATGAAAGTATTTCGTGTTTTTCTCTTAAGGCTTTGAAAATGAGAATATCTCCCTGCAGGATCAGTCTGAAAGAGTTTCATACGTTCAAAATGTACTGTCGTTCTCCAAAGACAGGTGGTTATATTCAGGCCGATACGCTAATTATTAAAGTTTATATAGTGCTCACGCGGTGCGTACTCCTAAACAAATCTAATCTGCCACAGACTTACACACATATTTAAAGTATGCTTCCATCACTGGTTGCATGTAATCTAATGGGAACTTGGACGTGTCAGGGTCTATCTACAACACACAGAAGGTGGTGGATGGGGCCTACCAGCAAACTGTGGCCCGGTCTGTCACCAGCTGGCAGAACTCAGACTGTAGGAGATGTTAAGTTACAGGTGAGGTGAGCAGAGCTGCGATTTGTCAACCAGTTCACCTGTGGCTCGAGGGCGCTCTGATGTAAGATTCAGATCTGCAAATTCATGAACGCTTTTGTCTTCTGGCTTCGTAGCAGCTGCATTTGAGTTTAGAGCATGTAGTGAAAATCTTAAATCGTGGACTTAGAGATCATCCGCTCAAACGGCTACAGTCAAACATTTATTTAAGAGACATTTGAAACACTTAATATACAAAACTGAAGGAGGAAAAGGATGATGCGTGAGAGTGAGTGCGAGTCTTGGATTGTGAACTGTGTATTTTATATAATGGGCCTTTTCCACAGCAGACACTGATTTAGGAAAAGCACAGGTGTCACTAATAATGTGAACATAACAGCAGATATTCACTAAGTCAGGTTCCTTTGCACTTCACGCATATTGTTTTTTTTATCAATACACCAACTTGCAGAAAAAGATTTTTTTTTTTTTTGCCATATTTCGACTTTGAATTTCTGGCGTTTCGACCCACGTCACCGACAGAAGCACCGGCAGTAACTCTTGTTGTTGTTGTTGTCATAGAAGTCCCATCCATCACTCTGCAGCTCCAAAAGCACTTCATGCTACTTGCACGTTGTTTCTGCTTCTCAAAAGCGTTTTGTAATTAAAGTCAAGTGGCGCTCAAGTGCTTCTCTAATAGATTTGTGTTAAATGTGGTGTCAGGGTGAGGGTCAAGCATCTGAACCGTGTTCAGGCTTTTGTAGCTGCTCTTCAGACGAGCTAAGCTGTTGAACATGAGCTTACAGGATTTGTGGGTACTGAAGTCAAAAAGAGACGTAATATACTTCTAGATAGAAGTATGAGCAGGAGTTGGCCCGTGATGTTTCATTCCAAATGGATGAGATTGGAAAGATGTTGGTGAGTTCAGCCTGTATTTTGGAGCACCCCCACCCCCCCCACACACACACACACACACTTCAGTTGTTCTTCTAGCTGTGCCTCTCATTCTATATGATTGCAGATCCACAGCCCAGCCTGCTCCGAGATGGTTTACACATTTAGCCGAGTGTTTATACGCCGCACATTCTTATGGCTGGTTAGAGCAAAACATACTGTGAGGATGTGGATGAGGCGCAGGCGGCCCTCTCTGCCGTGTGGAGCAGAGACAGCACAGTGCAGAGGAGTGCAGTGCTCACACATATACATGTCAGGACATTCATTTAGGATATTCAT